ATATATACTTTTGGTAACAGTGTCAACATTTGAAAACAATTTAGATTTTATGAGTAGTATGGAAACACGCCCCTTTACTGAATTTACTACTCAAATTCTAATTTCTATAAAAATGACAAGGAATTAAAGTATGGTTTTGTTACATCTCCACATCCCTGCCCCCCACAAAGAAAAGTACATTTGAAGCTATTCTTTGAAAATGTGATCCATGAGTCTTGTAATATATCTCAGTGTCATCACACAAGTTGACAGACAAAACTCCTTGCCGGGAAATACCACATCTTGTACTCTTTGGTACTCCCATAGAGGCCAACACAGTGGCCCAGATCAAAACTTAATACTGGTATAACTAAAGTAAGATTCTGCAGATTCAGTAAAGTCAGTGAATTCCATCCAAGTTGGTGTCCCTCAGTCAAGGAAAGTGAAATAATTTAAATTTAGAATCTGTGGTTTCCATTTCCAGACATTTGTCATGCCCACAGTATTAAATATTTGCCTTTCCCCATGTTTATAAATATTGACTGAATGGGTTGGTTCACAGCTAAAAGTGTAGGTAGACGGAAATAGTGAGACACATTTTAATGTGGGCAGAGCAGTGAGGTAACGTGTTTGGGCCTTGGTTCGCAGAGGAGCTCTTGCTCTCAGGGGACACTTGGTAATGTTTGGAGACATTATTTGAAGGGGGTTCGTCATCACATCAGGTGGAAATGGATGCTACTGGCATCTTGTGACCAGAGACCGGGGACACTGTTAAACATCCTACAATACACAGGACAGCCTCCTCCACAGCCAAGGTTTGTTGTTGTTCTGCGTTTCTGCACCATGAACTCGAAACTGACTCATTGCGGACCCTCCAGTGGGTTTTCAGAGGCTGTAAATCACACAGGAGAAGAAGAGTCATCTTGCTCCAGTGTAGCAGCTGGTGATTTTGAACCTCCTGCCTCTAGGCTGGCAGCTCAGCTCCTAGCAATAGGCCACCAAAGCTCCCTCAACAAAGATTTATATAACTCAAATCGTCAGTGGTGAGTTTGAGAAACCTTGCTCTGCACTTAGCACATTCGGAATGGCCAACGAGAAACAGACATGTCCCTTAAGGATATCAGTGCTATTGGGTGGCTGAAGCTGAAACTTCCCCCTCCAAAACCAAACAAACTCATATGATACTGAACTTCATTAATGAGCACTGGAAACAAAGTGCTCATCTTGTGTTACCTTAGTCCCAAACAATAGTTTACCAAAAATGAATGCCACTTAATAGAAAACATTACTGAATAATAAAAAAAAACTTTAGGGAAAAATTAATTCTTTGTTAAAAAAATATAATCACCAAGCATGTTCTAATGTACTAGGTATTACTTATGAGCTTTCTAATACACTCCCTGAGCAAATGAAATTTGGCCTCTTAATCAACTTATCAAAATTTAAAAGCTGTTGTTAGGTGTTGTCAAGCTGAGCATGGCTCATAGCAACGCTC